GGATTGACAGGGCTACAGATGCCGGATTGACAGGGCTACAGATGCCGGATTCACAGGGCTACAGATGCCGCACTGACAGGGCTACAGATGCCGCATTGACAGGGCTACAGATGCCGCATTGACAGGGCTACAGTGGCTACAGATGCCGGATTGACAGGGCTACAGATGCCGGATTGACAGGGCTACAGGGGCTACAGATGCCGGATTGACAGGGCTACAGATGCCGGATTGACAGGGCTACAGATGCCGCACTGACAGGGCAACAGATGCCGCACTGACAGGGCTACAGATGTCGCACTGACAGGGCTACAGATGCCGCACTGACAGGGCTACAGATGCCGGATTGACAGGGCTACAGATGCCGGATTGACAGGGGCTACAGATGCCGGATTGACAGGGCTACAGATGCCGGATTGACAGGGCTACAGGGGCTACAGATGCCGGATTGACAGGGCTACAGATGCCGCACTGACAGGGCTACAGATGCCGCATTGACAGGGCTACAGTGGCTACAGATGCCGGATTGACAGGGCTACAGATGCCGCACTGACAGGGCTACAGTGGCTACAGATGCCGGATTGACAGGGCTACAGATGCCGCACTGACAGGGCTACAGTTGCCGCACTGACAGGGCTACAGATGCCGGATTGACAGGGCTACAGATGCCGGATTGACAGGGCTACAGATGCCGGATTGACAGGGCTACAGATGCCGCACTGACAGGGCTACAGATGCCGCATTGACAGGGCTACAGATGCCGCATTGACAGGGCTACAGTGGCTACAGATGCCGGATTGACAGGGCTACAGATGCCGGATTGACAGGGCTACAGGGGCTACAGATGCCGGATTGACAGGGCTACAGATGCCGGATTGACAGGGCTACAGATGCCGCACTGACAGGGCAACAGATGCCGCACTGACAGGGCTACAGATGTCGCACTGACAGGGCTACAGATGCCGCACTGACAGGGCTACAGATGCCGGATTGACAGGGCTACAGATGCCGGATTGACAGGGGCTACAGATACCGGATTGACAGGGCTACAGATGCCGGATTGACAGGGCTACAGGGGCTACAGATGCCGGATTGACAGGGCTACAGATGCCGCACTGACAGGGCTACAGATGCCGCATTGACAGGGCTACAGTGGCTACAGATGCCGGATTGACAGGGCTACAGATGCCGCACTGACAGGGCTACAGTTGCCGCACTGACAGGGCTACAGATGCCGGATTGACAGGGCTACAGGGGCTACAGATGCCGGATTGACAGGGCTACAGATGCCGGATTGACAGGGCTACAGATGCCGCACTGACAGGGCAACAGATGCCGCACTGACAGGGCTACAGATGCCGCACTGACAGGGCTACAGATGCCGCACTGACAGGGCTACAGAAGCCGGATTGACAGGGCTACAGATGCCGGATTGACAGGGCTACAGATGCCGGATTGACAGGGCTACAGATGCCGGATTGACAGGGCTACAGGGGCTACAGATGCCGGATTGACAGGACTACAGATGCCGCACTGACAGGGCTACAGATGCCGCATTGACAGGGCTACAGTGGCTACAGATGCCGGATTGACAGGGCTACAGATGCCGCACTGACAGGGCTACAGTTGCCGCACTGACAGGGCTACAGATGCCGGATTGACAGGGCTACAGATGCCGGATTGACAGGGCTACAGATGCCGGACTGACAGGGCTACAGATGCCGCACTGACAGGGCTACAGATGCCGGATTGACAGGGGCTACAGATGCCGGATTGACAGGGCTACAGATGCCGCATTGACAGGGCTACAGATGCCGCATTGACAGGGCTACAGGGGCTACAGATGCCGGATTGACAGGGCTACAGATGCCGCACTGACAGGGCTACAGATGCCGGACTGACAGGGCTACAGATGCCAGATTGACAGGGCTACAGATGCCGGATTGACAGGGCTACAGATGCCGTATTGACAGGGCTACAGGGGCTACAGATGCCGGATTGACAGGGCTACAGATGCTGCACTGACAGGGCTACAGATGCCGCACTGACAGGGCTACAGATGCCGCATTGACAGGGCTACAGATGCCGCACTGACAGGGCTACAGATGCCGGATTGACAGGGCTACAGATGCCGGTTTGACAGGGGCTACAGATGCCGCATTGACAGGGCTACAGATGCTGCATTGACAGGGCTAAAGATGCCGGATTGACAGGGCTACAGATGCCGCACTGACAGGGCTACAGATGCCGCACTGACAGGGCTACAGATGCCGCATTGACAGGGCTACATATGCCGGATTGACAGGGCTACAGATGCCGCACTGACAGGGCTACAGATGCCGCACTGACAGGGCTACAGATGCCGCACTGACAGGGCTACAGATGCCGCACTGACAGGGCTACAGATGCCGCATTGACAGGGCTACAGATGCCGGATTGACAGGGCTACAGATGCCGGATTGACAGGGCTACAGATGCCGCACTGACAGGGCTACAGATGCCGCACTGACAGGGCTACAGATGCCGCACTGACAGGGCTACAGATGCCGGATTGACAGGGCTACAGATGCCGCACTGACAGGGCTACAGATGCCGGATTGACAGGGCTACAGATGCCGGATTGACAGGGCTACAGATGCCACATTGACAGGGCTGCAGATGCTTATGACGTGTTTTGCTGGGTGGTGTAGACAGGATGTCTGCCACTCCTGGGACTGTCTCTCTTCTGTCCAGTCTGCCTGTAACAGACTATACGCCTGGTGACGCATTCGGCTGCAGTAAAACCCCTTGCGAGGTGGTCATGCGTTGTTCCTTGGTGTTGGATACCAACAGCTTGTCTCTCTGTTGTAGCGTTAATCTTTGCATGTTACTTGTCACTGTCAAACGAATAGGGTGTCATTGAACAGTTACATCGTTTCTGCAGGTTTCACCATTGTCATACATGAAATCCGATCCTTCCGTGATGTAGGTAAACAATAATGTTAATTTCTAATACATGATATTTACGATAACTAAACACACATGCTTAATAACCTCTTTATAAAATAATGTCATTCTTAAAGTATATCTTTGATAAAAAAAATTATCTTAACGATACCAAGTTTTCCTGGAATATGCGCAATAATTGACTAATCACAAGCTCAGTGATTCGTTAGTGTATGCATACTTTATGAATTAAAAGGTAATTTTTGAAAGCACAAAATACTTTGTCAGTGATCGTTCCCTGCTAACGTAACTGCGTTTGTTATCTGCCGGGTCAAATTACATTGCTATAACGTTACGAAATACAGTCAGTCCCACACATCGAAAAAATGCATCAAAGTTAACTTTCGGACTTATTACAGCCATATCAAAAGTATTTTAAATACAGGAACGCACAGAGCCATACAAGTCACATCGGAGCCACATACACACACACACACACACACACACACACACACACACACACACACACACACACACACACACACACACACACCAATCCCTTCCACACACATGCAGACAGAGAGACACGTCGCTTTATCCACGCAATAGTCTTGAACGCGACGTTAAAGTTAAACACCTATTTCACCTCACCTAACCAGCAAATGTGCAAATCCTGGGCAGGGCAAATCATTGATCGACAGCATCAAATGTTGTTGTGGTACAAGTAACCTACCAGTACACACAGGCGTGGGATCCTGGGGGCTTATTATGTTCCCACGAGTCTCCATGACCATATATGACAATGGGTAATAAGATGATTAGGTGTGGTGTGTTATTTTTATTATTGATGTGACTCAAACATCACTTACATAACCTTTTATTTCCATAACCTTCAGAATCAATATTAGCTGACGCGATGTTTTGTTCCCCCGGTAAAACACATGAACTACAAACATCATATTTTATTTACTTTTGCAGATCGGGAGCTGTTATGTGTAAATGGAGATAGACACTCTGATTACATCACCGTCGACTGTTGGAATTGTCTTTTATACTGAATAAACCTACCTTTTATTTTAGTTATAGAAAAAGGAAGACGGACTTTCAATTTTGTCTTATGCACTTACATAACCTTTTATCACACCGTCTTGATAAAGTACAACGTACCCCGCCTTGTGGGAAGAAAATATTCGCGGCAGCAGAATGAATCCCTTATACCCCGTCATGAGGCTGCACATGAATTTGACAGCGGGAGAATAAATCCCTCTTACCCCGCTTCGAAGCAAAAAGCCTCACGCCTTTTCCGATCAGTGAGAGTCACGTGACAGCACAAGTTAATCCCACCTGGGGTAGTGTGCGTCCTGTGTTTAGTTTTATACCACTAGCTACAACTTATAGTGTTAAAGGGTTGGGGATTGGGGTAAATGAAATATTCTGTCAGTCATATATGGATAAGAAAAATATAGCAAGTCGAAAGATGAAGGCCAAACCTTTTAATTTCTTAAAATGTACAGTCGAATCGCATTGCCTGAAACTTCGAGGGACCTACCAGTTCGACCTATCTGCGATTCGACACATCCCACTCGACTCTTACACAATCTGTCCTAGCCAACAGAACGAAACCACACACTGCAAATTAAGTAAAAAACATTTATATAATCAGAATAAAAGCAGAAGTATCAATCATATCGCACTCTTCCAATGGCGCCTTAATATTCCCGTTTTTTTGACGGCTCAGTTGAGCGAAGCTACACACTTCTCCCCTGAATCGAAGATTCGCCATGCATGATACCATCAAACCTACAATTGGGAACGGTTAGTAAATGTCATAATAGACATATACGAATGTCACTCGTCTGACATTGGCGCGAGTTTACCAAAAGACCTTTTCGGAAATGAATAATGTACATAATTATTAGGGTGTTTTGTTCCCGTGATTCAATTGAACGTGTAAAATGATATACCTCAATTGAACAACAATATCTTGTCTTGCCTACTTCTATAACTATTGATCGAATAATGAGAGCTTATTGATCGGTTTTGTTACCTGGTGGTGTTTGTGTAACGTGTCACACAGATCTTCTCCCAGAATGATGCTGGCCCTGATACTTCTACAATTTGTCACTGTTACAGGGAACACTGTCATCCAACACATATTTGACAGACAATCTACACTAAACAACCTTGAAGCTCAAGAGACTCCAGCCAGTATCAACCAAGTTCGCTCTGAACTGATTTGTGTAAGCCTCTGTTCCAGGGATGACACCTGCGCTGCTGTGACGTTACAAGATGGTCAGTGCTCCATCTACCGCTCATCCTTACTGACATCTGGAAAGGCAAAACCAGGCGCCAGGACTTTGGTCAAGAAACAAGGTTCGAATAATCTATATTTGCGCTATTTAAAAAAAGAAAAGAGTTTAAACATTGAAAGTCATATCAAAATATCACTTTTTCCTACAGTAAAATCGGTGTGCATATTCTCATTGACATCACATCCTTTTCTCAAATACACCATTTGATTCCATGATCGGTTTGTATATCATCATTTTGTGCTTCACCACAGCATATTTTACAGCACATTTATGTATCTGAGGCTTAATGAATATATCTTTACTGGTCAATACTATGAATAACTCTTTACAGATCAACTCGATTCAGGAAAGCCAGTCCGTTCCTGCTCCGATGTGAAGAAGGTTGACCCCAACGCAGGAGATGGGGAATACTGGATCCACACTGATGCCCCATCTTTTATCGGATATCCATCAAAGATATTCTGCCACAACATGAGCTCTGGATCTCCCCAAGAGTTCGTGACTCTACCATTCACAAACACAGCAGTGTATCCTCAACTAACGAACCGATACTGCCGGCAAGAAACGACTGTCATGACTGGTAACGGAATACCAAACGTTGGTACAACGCATTTCTCTAAAATCCGAGTCAATATTACGGTAAGTGTACTTGTTAGTGTTAAAAGAGCACCAATCAGCAATCACGACTTTCATATCACAGCACACTGTAAACAGAATGATGACCAGACATACCAATGGATAATATCATGAGGGATTCAGAATTTAACGTCGTGTCAGCAATATCTCATCCATATAGTGTCGGAAGTAAATAATACATTCATTGAATAAAAGCAACAAAATCTTTTCCATTTTCATAAGAAATCTGCGAAAAGCAGATTCGATTATTCAATTCCGACTATATCATGAGCATGTGTCCATTAATCACAATCAAAAAATTCCCTAGAGCTAGCATGAGCTGGCTAGACATGCTTTTGTATGCGTTTCTAGATTTTTTTTGATTTTCATAAAATAAATATATTCCACGGTCATGGTGCAGGACTAAGTTAAAAGTAATGTATGTAGAAATTCTCATGAACTACAATAAAGGCATGTTGTTTCAACACATATTCAGAATTTACAAAACAGACAAAAAAAATTTAAATATCTCAAAATCAAATGTCCACCAACATTATCTCATCTTTAAGTATTGTTGCATCAGCTTTTGAAAACGGATGAGATCCGGTTAGAGAATAGGTCATCAGCAACCCATGCTTGCCGTAAAAGGCGACTATGCTTGTCGTAAAAGGCGACTAACGGGATCGTGTGGTCAGGCTCGCTGACATGGTCGATGCATGTAATCGTATTCCAATTTCGTAGATCGATGCTAATAATGTCAATCAGAGGGAACGTCTGGTCAAGACTCGATTATTTACAGGCCGCCGTCATAAAGCTGAACTATTGCTGAGTGTGGCGTAAAACAACACACAAACAATCATCAGAAACATTCCATGTCGCTAGGACGCAATGACAGACACGTCACTCTTTGTAAGTGTCCCGAATAGTTTCCTCTATAATCAGGAATCTATTCTGCCCCAGAATCTCAACTGGGATGAATGATTGCTTTGATGGATGTTGATTAATTATATTCATGTCAGCATAGATCATATCACAATAAGAAACATTTCACACATGCAGACCAAGGTGAGTTCATGTGTGAACACTAGCCACAACCATACTCGATTGTCCAGTTTATCATATTACCACTCAATCTGTGTTATCAAATATAATAACACTAATATTCACACAATGATTGGGAAACATAATTGCAGTGGCGGCGGCGGGAATTGGATGAAATACTGTAAGCAGCCGCCTTTGCCGACAATCCTTAAATTTTAGAAGAACTCCCCTCGTGCCATAACAGTCTCATGTCTGTAATCCGAGCTTTGCGTTATGGAGGAACAGGCAACATTGGTGGCCTGACCACATTGGTGTTATCCAGGTTTGAGGGTTGTTTTCAGACAATGGCTATTGTTCGTGATGATTTCATCTTCACATCTGGACTGGAGATATTCTTAAATATTAAATTGTTACAGTATGTTTATGTGATCAGTGCCTTCATGATATGAGCATTGCCCTCTGGGGGAGGAAACATTTGTGTATCCATCCTAATATATTGGTTTGATGGTTGTTTTCAGACAATGGCTATTGTTCGTGATGATTTCACCTTCACATCTGGAACTGGAACACAACGCAAGTATGGGGAGGCCAAGGACTGTTACACCGAATATAGTGAGTCCAGAAGTTGTACTCCCAAAGGCACATTCAACATCAACACTACAGGAACTGGCATGATCATTGATAAAAAGGCAAGTGATTGTGGTTTTGCAGTCTACATTCTATGTATTTCTATCAGGTGTAGTTGTTAAAATGTACTTTACGAAAAGAAAGAAAGTATACCTAGATATTCATGTTCATTTTCTGACGTTTTGACATGGAACAATTGTTTTATCTACATATTTCGTGACCACTGTTTTATTCCATTTATTTCTAAACAAATATCTATGTTGGTATTACAGTTATTATGGTGGAGAAAAGGCTAATGAGTTGTCCACTCTGTGTCAAATATTTTTTTTCAGGATAGCAGGGTCCTTTATACAGGATACGGTATATGTACACTGGTATACAGCATTATATATTTCAAAGACACATTGACAAATTATATAACACCTCGCTAACGAATTAAAGTTGAATCTTAAGGTGGTCACGTACTCATAAAACATTTTTGCTTTCTTTTCTACATTCTAGCTTCACAGTCTCGTCTTGTCAATTACATAATAGTACCTGTTTATTCATATTTCCCAAACAGCATGAATGGAAGACCATGAATTGGAAGCCATTCCCTCCGTCAGTGACCAGGTCAGCTGATGGTACACAGATAGACTTGCTATGTGGTGGTTACTGCGGTGGATGTGGACCAGTTGGGGGAATCTTGCTGTTGCAGCCTAACCCGAATGAGAGTAAGTAAAGGGTCACAATGTACCTGTGTGTTATGTTGTTGGTGTAATGGGTAGCATAAAGGTCACACTTTTAAAAGATGTGATCAAAGATATTCAATATTAATGAAAAAGATGTTGGTTGGTTGGTTGGTTTGTTGTTTAGCGCCGCACTCAGCAATATTCCAGCTATATGACGGCGGTCTGTAAATAATCGAGTCTGGACCAGACACTCCTGTGGTTGACATCATGAGCATCGATCCACGCAATTGGGATCGATGACATGCTTCAACCAAGTCAGCAAGCCTGACCACCCGATCCCGTTAGTCGCCTTTTACGACAAGCATAGTCACCTTTTACGGCAAGCATGGGTTGCTGAAGACCTATTCTAACCCGGAATCTTCACGGGTCTGTACAACATGCTAAAACAGAATGCTTTCTGACCTCTTAGGTCAACTTTCTACTTAGGATCCTGAATGTTTTCTTGACTAGTATATATTAACGGAAAACAATAACTGTGCTTCAAATAATGTTCAATGAATACCTCTTCTCGACTTAAGATCGTGATTCACATTTTGCACGTGTATGTTGCTGCACGGCGCACAAGTTGGATGTTTGTGTGTTCGTTGGGTACAATCATATACGTGGTTTCTTCATGTGAACAGCACACAATGATTGTTTAGCCATCAGATGCTCATAAACATATCTTTGTTAAATGGTACATGATGCTTAGGCAATGCCACGGCTTGCCGTAAATCAACGCCACCTGCCACAACGCCACAACTACAAATTGTGCAAAACAAGGTGGTCAGAGGTTTGTATTCATCGAAACTGAATCTCACCTATTTGGCGACGTTTTCCAAAGCATGGCAACAATATTCGGTTGATGCATTAACGGAATCGATACTAAACTGCCACGTTAGCAGCTCACAATTCATGGATTGAGACGAATTAGTGGGAGCACCGTACACAACCGGTTGAGGGATCACAACACCCGGCCTCGCCGTCCACCGACACGTCTTTTTCTGCTTACATGTCACTGTCAGGCATCTGTTCACAGATGAGTTGAGGTTTTATCCCAACGTACAGGCGGCCAGGAGAACGTTTAAGCGACGCCTGTGTTACTCAAAGTCCTCAGTTTGGGGGTGGCAGTGAAATTGTATGGAATGTCATCCCAACTCACGGGAACACTACTCCTCATTGTTAACATCAGTTTGAATGGCGTACGCTACCGCCACGACGGTGCAAGGTCGTTGTCTACTCTATGTGCAAATACAGGGACGTAACGTCATGTTGCAGCAAGATAATGCCCGCCCACATGCTGCACGTGTTATAACTTTGCTGTACTTCAATGGCCGGCTGTTTATTCAGACCTCTCCCTAATAGAACATATCTGAGATTTGATGGAGCGACGCCTACTACACGAACAGAACCAGTCGGTAACGCTGTTTTTGTTGACACGTAAAAAACAACATACCCCAGGCTGTTTCAATCATCTGGTGTCTTCAATGCACCGCCTGTAACAACGCAAAAGGTGGTCACGCCCGACATTGACATTGTTGATAAAGTACACAACCTCTCGTTCAGGGCGTGTCTCCTGTTACCAGGTATGGATTTCATCAATGAATTTGTTTTGATAAAAAAATGATTGTCCAAATATTATGTTGTCATTATCAGTAACATAACAGTTACACCACTTTATGTGAAGCACTGTTATTTTTTCCGTAACTATACATAAAAAAAAGAAAAACGACACAAATGCTTCCAGCTACTTTACTAAGGAAGTATTCCTTAGTAATGATCACTGGTTACAAATTAAAAAAACAGTATGTTGCTACCATCAGAAGAAAGTCATATGATCTTCCTACCTAATGACATCATGTCGGTAAACATGACCCGTGAAGATATGGGGTAGAATGGGTCTTCAGCAACCCATGCTTGCCGTAAAAGGCGACTATGCTTGTCGTAAAAGGCGACTAACGGGATCGGGTGGTCAGGCTCGCTGACTTGGTTGAGGAACGGCCATCGAACCCAATTGCGTGGATCAATGCGCATGATATCAATCACTGGATTGTCTGGTCCAGACTCGATTATTTACAGACCGCCGTCACATAGTTGGAATATTGCTGAGTGTGGCGTTAAACAACAAACCAACCAACCAACATGCGCTGTTCTGCACGATTATATAGTCACATTGTGAGTGTGTGTAATGCGGTATGCAAAAGAATGTATTACCCACGTGGGGAAGTTACATGTGGTAAGATACTAAATCCGTACGTCACACGTTTGTCGTACAAGGTTGACCTCGTTGTATTCGTTTTGATTGGATAGCCGTGACCTCTGTCACACCGGAACTTTTTTTTGTCATTCATAAGATATCGCGAGACGTCATTCCCTTTTGCAACTACAAGGCAGAGCTGAGGCAATTTCATTAAAGCGACAGATATTTACAAAAGACTTTATTAAACCAAACAACGTAGTACCACGCATAAAATTCGATTTGCATTCTATATTACTTATGCATAGAGGTCCTACAGACATAATATAATATAGCGATATCCATTTGCAGTGTGCGACTACCGATCGATAGATCGAGGGTCCCTACATATGAGCGTGATGCACCCGACCACTTTCACCACTTTCAATTTGATTTAACGTAAAAGGATAAGCGTGGTGAAATGAAGTCAGTTTAAACCATCTGGACATATATCTAGACTTACGTTGGATGCTCCAGTGCGTATTTCGTGGCACTGTTTCGGGAGGTGTTTGTTCCTGAATGAACGTACACGACCGCAAGAAAAACGAACAGTTCCTATACAAATCATTCGAAAGTTCCGTGAAAGTGTGTCTGACTTCTGATTTTGTGGCCCAAAACATCAATGTGAACAATAACATTCCCTATCTCTAGTGGAACACCTTGATTTCCCTCTTCCAAAATGTTACGGACTGGATATAACTTCAGCTGATACATCAAGGAAACAAAACCATTTTGATTGTACAGCCGTGACCCCAGTGGTGCGAATGACCGACTGTTGGTCCGATATTCAAAGCTCGGCGCTAAGTGACTTTTTTTTAACTTTTCTTATAAGTGTCCTGCGTACAAACAACAATGTGCTTGAAATACCATAAGTTGAAATAAGAATTTGTTTTAAAAGTACTTGAGCGCCAGGGCTGGTATGTTTGTACACACAACAGCAGGAACATGTTGTTAATGTGTATGCATAGAAATGTCAACATAATGCCAATATTTGGACATATATCAATATTCATGCGCAACCAGATTTTGCAACTAGTTTCAGTTTGGTCTGATTCCGAACGAAAGTTGTTTTGTATTTTTTTCACTTAAATACATTTTTAACGTGGGTAATAAATAAAATACCACACTCATTCTCGTTAGATACCATTTTTTCGCTCGGTCAAATACCATAGAAAGTCCATTCGTTTCATGAAAATGGTATCTAACGAGAATGAGAGTAATATTCTCTGTGAATTCCATTTCTCTTGCATCTTAAAAAGACAGTTATCTGCACTTACTCCAGTCTAATGACATGAACCTTCCTCTCAGCCAAGACCTGCAGGCGGTTTCATAATGACCATAGATTGGGTTTGGGATTACAAATACAGTACCATACTGTTAATGAAGTTTGTATCATATTGTTAACAGATCGTTCAAAGTGTGAATGAGATTGACATTTTACATGGCCTTAGACGTATTTTACAGGATTTGAAATAGTTATTAATAGTTCATCTTCATTGATTGAACAATGATTGCATAAATGTCCATTTTGAGCTATGCTACAAATTTAGAGCTCTGGTAACCAAACAGTTAATCGAGACCCGAGGTATCTTCAATATGAAGGTTCATCAAATTTCAGTCGGAAATACATATTCAAGTTTTTCTTGATGCCAAATTGACACTTAGTGACCTTGATCTTCCATGTCACCCCAGCATTAGTCTGTGTTATAATGAGATATATCAAGTATGAACTCTGTTATATACCGGGTTGAGACAATCAATTACGATGACAGCGTCAAACTCAAGCAATAGACACCAATTATTTCAACGCACAGCAGGGAACGCTTTATTCTTCAGCTCAAATGTATTAAAGGAAAATAATTTATGAGTTATATGTGAAGGTATACTGGTGAACAGTTATGCACACAGCAACAGGTGTTTATCTGGCGTGGAGCGTTCATTTTAGACAAGGCATCCAGTAATCAATGCTTGTCATGAGAGGGACTAAATGGACGGGTTGTCTGTCTTGGCGATCTGGTTGATTGCCTGTCCCCATTGTGTGGGGTGTTGTTCATAATAACATATTTTACATTATCTAAAACAGATTTTACTTGATAGCTCATTTTGTTTACCTTTCAGACCTTCCACCAGAAGATGCCGTGTCCCTGTATTTCAAATAATAGGATCACCCATTGCAATAGGTGGAGGTTTCAAGGAAAATTGGATATAAATCACCACACAAGCGAAGGGTCCTTTCCAAATGTCCTAATTCTTAATAAATTGTAATACGATATCCATATGACATGGGCTTGCAATATACATTTCATTTGGTCGACACATCAGCACTTATTTATCCAGGTTTTGGAATACAGTCAAGTCCCGTTAATCCTACATCGACGGTTGCATATGATTATGTCGGATTAGCGAAAGGTTGTTCTGACGTGACTTGAAATGGGATGTCCTCGTCGATAGCGAGAACTTGTATCTGATTTTAATAAGATTGAGGTAATCTAAGCATGTGAATTATCCTGTTTTCTTTATTTAAAGCATTAATTGTTTATTGTTAAGAAAGTTTATCTCTGCAGCCGTTGTAATATGCAGCTACCAGCCGATTCGTCTCGCATCAAAACACGGGCTGTGTACTTGCGGGCAGATGACCACGGAGTACGCTGATCACTGTGTCACTAACGAGACTGATTAATGAGTGATTTCGGTAATTCGTTGCAAATTAGGTGTCGGAGTCGGAGTGCGAGAATGTCGGATTAATGGGTCTAAATAGCACTGATTT